CTCTCTCACTCACTCACTCACTCACTCCCATGGATAATGTTTATAACATACCCAACCTTAAGTACGGGTCCAATCGGTCTTACACTTGGGATCCAAACAACATCCCTAACAACCAGTTCGTTGAATTGGGTGCAAAAATGCCGGCGCAAAGGGTGGTCGTGTCGGACGACTTAGCATACGCTGTGCTATTTTTGGCGGCACCGGAATCAGCGTTTATAACCGGCATTAATATGTTGGTCGATGGGGGCCATACAGCTGCTAGCCTACTATAAGCCACATAATTTTTATGATCAAATCTATAATCAAGATTAAAGTTTAGAATAATTAAACAAAAATAATTTTACTGATTAATAAAATAAGTTATTGAAACAACAATTTTAATTAAATACAAGTTTAATTCATGTTATTTTTAGTAGATTTGTAATATTATCAGTATATTCTCAAAATATAATTACTTTTTCTAAATAATATAACAAAATACAATTTTATTTACCAAATTGTCGTGTTTTTGACTAAATTTGTTATGTCTAGACATTTTTCCATGCTTCAACTAATTATTGCACCACATAAGCAAGAGGGTTATTTTATTTTAATAAATATTGATATATTTTGCAGTTCATATGATTGTTGCCGGTTTTATCATGTCTAAATTTGCGAAATAATTAAAATTCGTTGAATTATTTTCAAGTTATTATACAATATAATAACTTAATTTTAAAGTTTTAAAACACGTATAGATACACGAAGAAAAATATCTGTATTTGAATTATAATTAAGTAATTCACTATTGCAACATTAAATTGCGTTACATGATTTTATAATAATAAACAATTTATATAATTTACATTTCATCATAATTGGTGATAATTAGCATAATGAATATTAATTTAATATGATACAAAGTAATTTGACAGCATTCATTAATGTTAGTAAAATTATATTCAAAGGGAAAAACTCTAACAAACTGCACATAAAAATAAAACAATATAAATATCTATAAAAAAATTATCATAATTTAGGTAATAGCTATTTATACTTATCTCTTTATAATTAAATCAATACATTTTTAGAAATGTGTGGAAATATATTAAATTAAATTTAATAATAAATAACACAGTTCTATCCCTGTACAATCTCTTAATTGAAGCATTTGAATAATTTAAAAGGTATATAAGCAACATAAGCAGTACAAACGTTTATCACAATAGACTGTATGTCTGAAAAATTTATTTAATAAATATTTTGAAATAATAATGAAAACTATGTCGGATATAGTAATCAGTGGAATGAGTGGTCGGTTCCCACTGTCGGACACCACCGATGAGTTCGCGAAGAATCTGTTCGATGGCATCGATATGGTTACCGATGATGACAGTCGATGGCCAAAGGGTTTGCTATTCATTTATGTTTACATTTCACAATTTGTTTAATAAATGCTCTTTCATAGTTTAATAGTATAATTAATATACTGTAAAATATATTAGGCTTATATGACATGTCGAACCGAATGGGACGTATTGTCACTTATGACAGATTTGACGCTCAATTTTTCGGTATGACTGAGAGTATGGCCCAGAAGTACGGCCCACAACTCCATATGCTGTTGGAGTCTACTTATGAGAGCATTGTGGACGCCGGTATGCAAACACCATATTTTAGTTATGAAAATGATAAAACAATTAGTTATTTTACTTAAAACATTTTGACAACAAGGTATAAGTCCACAGAATCTGCGAGGCAGTAGGACGGGCGTGTATTGTGGTATTATAAACTATGCCAAATGCGATGGCTATTCCGAGTACCCACAGCCGGACCATACGACCCAAATGAACACTTTGATGATGGAGTCCATCAACAGCTCCAAGAGTTTCTTCGCCTCCCGAACGGCCTTTATCTTTGACTTGAAGGGCCCGGCGATCGTTGTGGACACCGCCTGTTCATCGAGTTTGAGTGCATTTGCATTGGCTGTCAATGATCTGAAATTAGGTATTTTATGTGTAATATAATAGTATAATATTTACCATTATAATCACTTTAAATGCAATTAATTAATAATTAGTAGTCAATTAATAGTAAATATCAATCTGAAAATTAATATTTATAAATTCAAATCAACTTTTTACTCAAATTAAACCCCGAGTACTTTACCGTAATCCCTTTAATAATGTTTCACAGTTATGCTTTAAAAACATAACTAACAAAAAATATTTTTAAAAA